TTGTTGTAGACTATATATATATATATATATATATATATATATGTATACATATACATATGTAGGGTAGAATACATGCACTCGACGTTGTTTGTACTGGAAATTTGTATATTCTATTCACATATCCACCAGATACACACGCATCCACAGGTCAGGTATTTGCACCAGCGTGGTCTCCCCAATACCTGGAGATGTAAAGCACATACTATGTAACACATACATATATCATATATCCAAACATACACACGCATACGCACACGCATGCAACCCATACACAAATACACACACGTTTGTACGAAACACGACCACCCACTAACGTACGCACACGCACACAAACTAACATACGCACACATAAACATACGCACAAGCGCACACACAAACTAACATACGCACACGCACACACACTAACATACACACAAGCGCACACACAAACATACACACACGCAATGTATCGCTCTACCTCTGCTTCTCCTCGGCTGTCAAGTTAGCGATTTTGTTGTACGCCCCTCTCAGCTTGAAGGAGAACACCTTCTGCAAGTCTTCGCGTTTGAGCAGAATGGTGTTGTTAAAGCGCTCGCTCATGCCCTCGGCCAAGTCCAGGGGCGTCTCTTTACACACATCATACACACGCGCCGTGAGCACTTTCTGCGTACGTGTGTGGATGTGAAGGGATAAGGTCCGTGCGTGTGTGTATGTTTGGACGTGTGCGTGTGCGTGTGTGTATGTTATTCAGAATAGCTTTGTGTTCATTAGTAAGTATTTCTTTGGAATAATTAGTGTTAATTAGTTAGTATTAATTTAGAAAAAATAAGTCAATTAGATAGTATTTATTCTGAGAATTAAGTGTCAAATATTTAGTATTAAAGTTTAGTGTTCATTAGTTCGTATTAATTTAGAATAGTTTAGTGTTATTTAGATAGTATTTATTATTAAGAATTAAGTGTTAATTAGTCGGTATAAATTCGAATAAATTTAGAATAAATAGGAGTTCATTAGATAGTATATTTTTAGAATAACATCATATTGCAGACACTACTTTATGTACGTGTACATAGGAAATTATATTCGCGTGTGCAAACGTACAACGGAATGGTTGTCCAAAGATCGAAATGCACGATATATATATATATATATACACACACACCCACACACACATATATATATATAGATATATTATAGATATATATATGTATATATATATTATAGATATATATATATATGCATACAATATATATAAATATATGTATGCATACAATATATATATATATGCATACAATATATATATATATATA